CCGAGATGGTCCATTGGGGTGAATGAAGAAACTATTTGAACCTCCATTTATATTTTTATCTAAACATGAAAAGTTACATATGCCTAATATTTAATATGTTATTAAAATACATAATGTAAATAAGTATATATGGGGTGAGTGCTCAACTTGCTAACAATTATACCCGTGAGAAATTAAAAGTTCAGAGATTACTGTAGCACAGCCTAAGGCAATAATCTGAAAGGCCAGGGTAAATTTTTTCCATCATATTATCTGGAAGAAAACAGGTATCTATATGCTGTGTCTATCTTTTTTACTTCCTGTGTACATCTTTTTCTCCTTTACTTTACAGCAGAGTCCCCTATTCTTCTGTATTTTCAATACCAACTAGAACCATGCCTTGCAGAGGAGTCGCTAATAGAGGAATAGATGACTGGACAGACAGAAGGATGAATCAGTGTACAGACCTGTTTCACCGAAACTTCATGCACTGAAATGCTACAAAGGCAGCCTTGGCACAATAAAGGACTTTGGCTTTGGCATCTGATAGGAGTGAAAATCCTTTCAAGGACCACCCACAAGCAACGTACTTCCCTTGTTTCCTAATCTGTGAAATAGGAAATGAATTAAGCAGAAAGAGGAAATGAGGCAATGCTCTGGACAATTTCAAATTACAATGCCTGATGTTTAATGGACACTTCGCACTCTGCTCTCCTGACCCCCAGGCCCACGCACTCTGCTCCCCATTGTCAGCACCCAGAAATACTTAGCTGCTAAGGCAATGACAGGTACCACGCTGGCTTTGCCCCCTCAAAGCCTTTCACAAAACCTCCAAGGACCCAGAGTGATGAACCCAGAGACCAGCGAAGTGGGCCTTAGTTAACTGAGACCAAGGCCGTTGGAAAAGAGGGTTGAGCCAGCCTGAGCTAGAGCAACCTTGGACAGACACATGTCCTTTCAGGGAGTACCTGATGCGGCATAGGCCACTGCCACCTCTCCATCCGGTGCCACAAGTGAAGCCCCCTAAAGGGGTGGGAAGCTCTTGGGCGATAGAGAATGAAAAAATGGACAAACCAACACCAAGCTGCCTTTGGCGACAATGAGTGTCAAACCTCACCCGCTTCCCCGCCTCCTCTTCCCTCCCCTTTCCATCAGGCTCGTTCTCTGGCGCCCTCTGCAGGCCATGCTCGGAACTCCAGCTGTGGTGGAGAACCTTTAACCACAGTGAGTATCCATCCACTGGTGTTGGGAACTGGGTTCCGTTCTTGGGGTCTTTGTTCCCTGCCTGGGCGATCCTGCAAGGGGACTGCCCGTGCTGACCACATCCCCAGGAGCTGCCTGTACGAGAGCCCGCGGGCGAATAGGGAGGGTCACACTGGGAAAAGTGAGGGCTGTGGGGAGAGGGACTGGAGGGGAGCAAGGGGCAGAAAGTGCTGGGGTGGGCTTGGGTCCTGGAAGCTGATCGGAAGAAAACAGAGAAGCAGTGGAAGGGGGCTAAGGACACCGTGCCTGCCTGCTTGGGTCTTAATCCTGGCTTGGCTAATAGCTGTTTGTCTTTAGGTCAATTGCTCGATGTCTCTCTATGGCCACAATTTCCTTTAAAATGGGGATAAGGGTAGCTGCCTCCTATGCTTGTTAGGGGATAAAACTAGTTAATATTTGTAAATACTTGGAGTACATTTTGGTCACTGAAATTAACAGTTGGCTTTAGAGATGGCCACCAACAGCACTGGCATCACCTCTTCAGAAATGCAAGTTACCGGGCCATACTCCAGCCTTAGAGAGTCAGCTTCTTCGCAGAGGGAGCTCAGAAATCTGTTTTGACAAGCTGACCAGAGGATTCTGATGCATCATAAACTCTGCGAAGCACTGGTCTGAGTTTCCGCGGTTTTCAAAGCTACCCAAGTGGTAGTTGGAACAGGAAGGGAAGGAGAATCAGAAAGGCGCAGACCAGTTTAAGTAACAAGTAGGGAATCAAGACCCGCAAGAGGGGAGTGAACTTGCCCAAGACCTCCCTGCAAAAAGCTATGACACTCTAAGGTTAAACTCCTCCAGTGCACCACAGCCCCCAACTAGTCCCATGGTCTTAGGCAAACTGTCCTGTTTCCTAATCTGTGAAATGGGAGCAAAAGCCAACCTAACTCCAGGGGTGACTGCGAAGATCCCATGAGACCCAAATATGTCAACTACAAAACACTGGCCCGCTGGGAATAGGGGCTGAACTACAGTGATCAACCAACCCCACGCCCCAGAGCCTGAGATGCCTGCAAGCCCCTGGGCCCCCGCTGGGCGGATTTCCCTCTAAGAGGTCCTTGATAAAATAAAACTCCTCCGGCAAATCACGGGGGCGGGGACGGGGGGAGATTTAGGGAGAAGTTCAGATCCCTGGGCTTCTTGCTTTGGCCTAAGTGTGTGCATTAGCCTCCCGGTGAGGCTGGTTCATTTGATGGGGGGACCATGTCCCACTAGACAGACCACAGGAGCGCAGCTGCCCGCTTTGGGACCTTTAGACCGCTGGAAGCCCGTACTGCACCCGAACAACACACGGACGTTCTGGCAGAGCCTCTGCGCAATTCAGGCCGGCCCTACAGCGGCCGCTGGGTCCCGCCCGGGATACGCCTCGCGCCACCGCCCACTCCGCAGGCTCCAGACGCAGGCGCAGAGCGCCAGTCCCGCCTACGCGCGGCGGACTCCGCCCCGCGAGAGCGGGAATCGCAGGCTCCTCCCACTCCCGCCTGCGCTCGCTCAGCTCCCCGCCCGACCGCGGCCCCACAGACCCGGGAGAGCCGGAGGAGAGTGCGCAGCCGGTCCCCAAACGAGATGCCGGCTCAGGGCCAGCGTGGGGAATGCTGTGCGCGGAGGAACCAAGCCGCAACCTCAGGCGGCTCCAGCTCACGGGATGGGGTCCGCGCCCAGCCTCTCCCGCCCGCCGCCTCGGTGCCGGGAGTGGCCAATGGGTTCCTGAAGTGGCTGTGTTCCTGGCCAATGAGGGCAGACACCGCCCCCTCGCCTCTAGTTGGCAGGACCAAGAGCCCGGGAGTGCTCACTTACACTTTCCCAAGGGAAGAGAGCCCGCGGGCAGCCCTCCGTGCCACGTCTTCTCAGCTCTTGCGAATCCCGAGGCAGCGGTCACCGGCCCCGTGGACACACTCCGCATCTGTGAGTGGTGCTCTGGTCCTCAGTGGGACGTGGAGCTCCTAGGGGTGGTCGTCAAGAGCACTAGGCAAAACCTTGGTCCTGAGCCAAGAAGTTTTGGGGGTAAGGGATAAGAAGTTTGGGGGTTAAGAGATAAGCAGCCTCCCATTGTAGGAAGCTCCTTCCCGCCCCCCACCCTCAAAGATCAAGACTTTTCCTCCTAGAAAGACACTTGGAGATTAGCTAGGAAGCTGTTTCAGCTGCCCTGTTGTGTGCCTGGGCATCCGGAGAGGGGGAGGGGGGGATGCGGAGGCGGGCGCGTTCTGGGCTGGGGGGGGGGGGGGGCACGGATCAAATATCACAACTGCAGCCCAGAGTCACTGAATCATGATCTTTGAGGGTGGGATCCGGTATATCTTCCTTTTCAACAAGCCCAGAGGGGGTAATTCACAGGAGCAATAAAAGGTTGATCTACACCAAACATCTTCATTTACAAATGGGGAACCCCAGATCCCTGGGAGGGGTGTAGGGAGAGGGTTTGACGTTTCGGGGTGGTTCTTTCTTGGCCTTAGGTACTTCCTTCCGTTGCTGCTCTGCTCAGTTCTCCCCGGAATACCTGAGCGGAACCCTCTTCATGTATCCCAAGTTCTCGGCGTGGAGAGGTCATTCCCTTCTGTGTCCTGTCACCTCTGCCACCTCCCTCTCTCTGACTCTTCAACTCAGGGATTCCAGCTGGCTCTGCTGTATTGCCCCTCTCGCAGCCTGGCCTGGGATCTTTCACGCGGTCAGCTGCAGTAAGCACAGGGGGTGCCTTATTTGTACCGTCCTTAATTGCGTGATGGCCAGCCAGTTCCTTGTAAATCATTGTTACCTATCTTTTGCCCATTTTGTCTTGTTTTGTTTTGAGTGTGGAGGCTAAATCTGGTCCCTGTTACATTTGGCCACTGTTTGAAGGTAATAACTATTTCAATGTTCTTTGCTACTAGCTCTGTGAACGGTGTCCCTTCTGGATCTGTTTCTGTTCCCCAGTTTCTTTCTTCATTAGGGGACCTATTTTCCTCTGTTGTTCATGCCTGGTGATTTTGTATTGGACATCCAGCTTTGTTAATTCCACATTTTGGGGTGCCAGAAATGTTTCAATTCTCATCAATCTTCTTAAGCTTTGCTCTAATGCCCAGTTATGTGACTTGCAAACAGTTTGATCCCAGCAAACGTTGCCATTCAACTTCCTCAGGTGGGACCAGAGCAGCCTTCAATCTGGGGCTACTTTTATCCCACTACAGAGACAATACCTTCCTGAATACTCGACCTGATACCTCATGCATGGTGAAATTTTCTAGTTTGGCTTTTGGGAGCAGAAACTATGCTCAGGCCTGTGTGAGCCTCAGAATTGTTCCACTTTTTCCTTTAAGTGGTTCTTCCCCTGGCTTCCAGTAGCTTCCTCACATGCATGGACTCACTGATACTTGGCTGAGATTTCAGGGGGTACCCACTGCAGATCTCCGATTCTGTGTGTAGCTGTAGCTCTCTTCTCTCTAGTAGTCTGCCCCACAAACTCCAGCCACTTCGGCCTCCCATGACCCTGAGCTTGTCTTCTCAAGCCAAGGAAACTGCCAGGCTCTGCTGTTTCCCTTCCCTGAGATATGGTCTGGAAACACTCCCCAGGCAGAAAGCTAGAGGTTCATGGGGATTACCTCATTTGATTTCTGTCTCTGAGGGGTAGGAGATCACTGTTCTGCACTGCCTGGGGCCCAGTGTTTGAAAGTTGTTTCATGTACCTTGTCTTTCCTTTGTTTTTAGTCATTGCAAGTGGGAGGGTAAATCCAACCCTTGTTTCTCTGACTTGGCCACTAGCAGAAGTGAGTCATAGTTTCTCAGAAGTCATCATGAACTCCATGAAACCTGAAGAGAACAAGTCATTCACTGCTACAGAAAATGGCCAGGGTACCAGACCTGAAGATTCACAGGTATGTCTCCTTTTTAACAACTCTTGGCTACAGCAGCATACTCCAACCATAGTATGGTATTAGGATCCTGGAAGGGGAAACGCTCATAAAGAATGGCGGTTATAAACCCTTCCTCTGTGTTGTGGAAATTTTATATTTGGGAGATCACATCTATAAGTGCCTGTCAAAACCAAATGATAGTGTATGAATTAGCAGTGCAAAGTGTGCCTTGTTAGACAACAAGATCACTAACAAACACTGTAGATGCTTGATATCAGAAGGACAGACAGGCCAAAATAGTAAGTAAGCAGTTACTGCCTACTGAGAAATTAGTGTGTACCTGAAATTACTCTTGCAACGTCCTGTGGATTATCTCATTCAACATTTAATAAAACAACAGATGTTGTTATCATCTCTGTTTTAAAATTGAAGAAACTGAAACCCACTTTTCTTAAAGTTGCAAAATTGATGAACTTGAGGGTGAGGATTTGAATCCAAGCAGTCAGACTTCAGAGTCGGTTTTTGACCAACACAAAATATGCAAAATGATAATACTGACTCAAGATATAAACAAGTGTTTTGGAGTGCAGAGAGGAAAATGCTTCATTTGCACTCAAAATTTAGGCAGTATCACCTGAGAAAGATCTTACAGGATGAATAGAATTTCACCAGGGAAGTGTATCCAGCATGAGGAAATAGTGGGAGTCAAGTCATATGCACAAGAAAACATATCTGGGAGCAGTATAGTTAGACTTGATGGTGTGGAAAAATTCAAGAATGTGGCAGAAGATTACAGTAGGCTTTATTTCAATAAAAATAAAATAGGAAAAGCAAGCCTTTACACTTTTTAGAAAAAAATAGAATAATTCTATGAAAGTTAATCTTATGACATAGAATGATTAATAAACGTGACAACAGAAAACTAAGGATTTCTTATCTTGAATGACACCTGATGAGAATGAAAAAGCAAGCCAGATACTCCAAGAATATGTTTAAGACATATAATAAATAAACGACTTGTGTCTGAATATAGAAAAGATTTTCAGTGATCAAAAGGAATATAGTCCAATAGAAAAATGGGCAAGAGACATGAACAGGCAGAAGCACGAAAAGGCGTTCAACTCCCATTAGTAAGTAAACTAATTAAGATGCCATTTCACACCCACAAGATTGGCAAATGTCAACAGTTGGGCAGTACTGACTTTGGATAAGAATGTAGATGTCCCACAGTGGAAGTACAAGGTGGTACAACCATTCTGTAGATAATATGGCAGTATTTAATAAAGGGAAGTATTCAGAGATCCTAAATTGGAGCAGTCCCACTTCTACCCCTGAGTGACATTCTTGCACGTGTACACCAGGAAACATTCAAGGATATTCACAGCAGGATGGAACCACTACTTTTTTGTAGAAAAAACCTGGAAGTGAATAAATGCAAAGGCAAAGGAAAGCACCATGAGAGGAAGAAACTCACTGTGCCTGAAACCAGACAGAGCTCATTCAATTACACTGGCCTCCTAAATAAATCAAGGCCCTCTGTCCCTCCTGAGTTTACTCTCTCCAGCTTTATTCTTCTGTTCATATAGAATAGGTCCAAGACTTGAGACTCCACAGGAATTCCCATCCAAGTTCTACTGAATCCTGTGGTGTCATGTTTTTCACCTATGTCCTTGGTTTTGATTCCTGTTGCCATCAGATTATCAATACTTTTTCCCAGGCTATTGCCAGCTGGTTCTATTTGTATGTTTTTGAATATGTATATTTATGTGTATATGCCCATGTGTATTTACTTGTATATCTATCCGATCCTGGGATTTATCAATCATTTTAGTATATCATGTATTTCCTTACTGCTGTTGAAACATGTACCGAATAGAACTAAACAGATACTTAATGGGAATTTTTGCAAGGTGTTGTTTCAGCTGTCCAAGAGGGTGCATTCAATAGCTCCAGTTTTACTAGTAAGTAATACAGATTTTAAAAACAGTCAAATTAAATGGCATCTCATCTATCATTTGGTAGACATCTAAAATAATAGTACTGAAATCCTTTGGAGGAGTCAACCATATGGTTGGCCTCTTTGGGCAGCAAGGGGAGAAGAAGCAGGATGAACTGCTGCAATTTCTCTGGCAAGGAGTTGGGCAGCTTAGATGTTGTGAAGTACATTATAACCTTAGTCTCAGTTTTTCTACCGCAGGGAATTTAGCCTAGGGAAATATTCAGATGTTGAGACAAAATGTTTTGTGTGTAGAAATGTTTGTCATATTTAGAGTAGTAAAAACTTGGAAACAATCTAAGTATCCAGCAACAGAAGAATGGATTAGAAATTATTGTACAGTGAAATATCCTGTGGCCCCTCAAATTGTGTTTTCAGAGGTTGTTGAATGGCATGTATGTCATTAAATGTGTTTCATGACGTGTCAATCAATGGCAGATTGCTTAGTGATTTGTATGTGCATGTGAAATCATAGAAACAAATGAAACAACACGTAGAATGGTTATCTCTGGTGATAGAATAACTTGATTGGTATTTTTTCTCCATTATTCATTATCCATGTTATTATCCAATTCTTCACAGTATCTATTAGTTTTATAATTAGAAAACCATGAAACATTATTAAAGGTGGTTCTTACTAAGTTTTTCATCTTTCCTTTTTTAAGGATACTGTCATGAGGCGGACATGTCCTGGCACACCTGCTGCTCATTCTCTGTCTGACAGGAAAGAGCATAGCAGTCCCATTAAGCTTAAAAGTGAAGTCAAGCAGGAAGCCTCTGTGGAAATTCAGAACCGAGACTTGAGCACCAGTAAAAAGTGTTCTTTTACTTTTACCTTGAGTAAAAGCTCCAGGAAATCAGACCGTAGTGTGTTTCGAGGCCATGGTAAACCCACTGAGAGTATCTACTCAGCCCTGATAGCTAAGGAAAATTTCAGTGAAAGGATGGGGAATCATCTTAATAAGAACATCCTTGTTTATGAAGAGAAAACTATAGGCGGATATGTAAATTTAGGAATGCCCCTCAAGTGCCTACCTGAAGATTCCCATTTTAAAATAACATTTGGTCAAAAAAAGGGTAACCAGGATCAGATGTTTCGCCAATGTGAAGATCCAAACATGGAATGCGTTCTTTTTCACATTGTTGCTGTTGGAAGGAATATAAAGAAGATTGTCAAGATCAAGGAACTTCATGAAAAAGGAAGTACACTTTGTATCTATGCATTAAAGGGTGAGACTATCAAAGTAGCTCTAAGCAAGGATGGCCGATTTCGGTCCGACCTTGACAAATATGAATGGAAAGTAATGGAAAATCATCAGAAAATTCATGGAAAGCAGTCCCTGGTGGATGAAGTATGTGGAAAAACCTTAGAAATGGACATTTTTAAGAAACAGGTCAGGAGAGGTGCTCCTAAAAAAATTAATCAGAATGAAAATGCCACTGATGAAATCAGTCCTGGGATCAGATACAGTCTGAGATCAGAGAACACGAACCAGAGACAGTTGGGGAAACTGAAGTTGTAGAGTCCACCAGAGAAAAACTCGTCCCACCTCAGAGTCTAGGGCATGGTATTGAAGGTAAAAAACGACGCACAATTTCCAGAATGAGGAGGTATTATAATAGTTTTAACAGAAAACACTGGAGGAACAACTCAAGACGTAGGCAAAGGCCCCATGTGTGTATGAAGCATGTTATTCAAGCCATGCCGGGGATGGCAACTAACCTCGGGCTAAAGAATCGCCAAATATTGGACAAAAGTATAATGGATCAATATCCAAATTTTAATGGGGAGGCACTTTGGATGAGAAAGTATTTTTGGAATGAACGGAAGAGAACCAAACTGACAACCTTTCAACAATTCAACATATATAAAAAGTACTTTGGGAAAGTGACTGAAAATTCTACTGCAGTTGCAACCTGTGAAGATCTTATTCACCTTAGTAAGTCAGTTGGGTTCATGACATGGGACAATAATGGAAATACAGGGTCTGGTACTTGTTTTGTCTTCAATCATGGTTATATTTTCACCTGTCAACATGTAATACATCTTATGGTGGGAGAAGGCACAGATCCAAGTTTGTGGCCAGCTATAATAAGCAAATGTGCAAAGGTAACTTTCACTTACAAAAGGTTCTTCCCTGTTGTTGTTGATTGGTATGACATTGAGCCATGGTTTGAAGTGTCTGATGGACCTCTAGATTATGCCATTCTAAAGCTAAGCAAAAATGAAAATGGATTCCCTCCAGGACTGTTTGGACGAATTTCCTCTCAACCGTCTAGTGGTTTGGTTTATTTAATTGGTCACCCAGAAGGCCAGGTCAAGAAGATAGATGGCTGTGCTGTGATTCCTCTAAATCAGCGGTTATTGAGGTACCCAGAACAACACCAAGATGGGATGGTAGGACCCCATGCTGCCCCTTATAATGCTTTCTCCATGTTCACCCAAAGAAGTTTCCTATCAGAACTTTGGAGAACTGACACACTTAGCTATGATACCAGCTTTTCCAGTGGGTCCTCTGGCTCCCCAGTGTTTAATACATCTGGTGAATTGGTTGCTATTCATACCGTTGGGCATTTTTACAACCATGGAGGTAAAATCCAAGCCCTTATTGAATATGGCTATTCTATGTATTCAATTCTTTGTGACATTAAACAGAAAAATGAGAGGTTTTATAAATTCTTAAACGAAGAGAAAAACGAGAACCGTAACGAAGACCATAACAAACAAGAGTTGTCACTTCAAGATCATCAGATTGAATCCATGGAACATTAGAAAAAAGTTTTTTTTTTTTTCAAGAAAATATGCCAATAATTTAGAGTATTTGGGGCTGTTTCCTTAAAGTATAATGAAAATTCTTTTAAATTAAAAAAGTTTTAGAGAATCATGTGGATATGCAAAACACATATAAGAGTTTAAGCAAATTCTGATTTATTTTCTAATTTTTTTTTTAATTTGAAGCTATCTCAAGCCTCTGTTATATACATACAAAGAATTTGGTATTTACCGTTCTGAATGCTTAGGAGGATACATCCATCCCATCTTCCTAACTGGTAAGGTGACCCCATTCTCTGCATCACAAAATAATGGGTAAATAAACTTTAGAGGGAAGGAAAAAAGATTTGTTGTTCCTCTAAAACTCAAAATTCTTTGGTAATCTTAATGTTTTTTCTCTTTTGTGTCACCTGTAACATCAGCCCCTATTGCAAATGCCCACAGAAAATCCTAGCTTTTCTGTTCTTTCCTCTAGTTCTGCCCTTCTGTGGAGGATAGAAGCATGACTTGCTAAGTCTCCATGCCGACCCTCTCTTATCCATAGTCTAGGAAGCTAAAATATAAATATATCAGTCTAAGTTGCAAGTTAAGATTCGGGTATAAAATAGATGCACTTGCCTGTTATCTGGAAGATAGAGATAAGATGGAAATTGTCTTTTTTTTCTCCATCTTCTGGCAGACTATGTCATAGATGTATTTACCCACTCCCCTAGATAGTCCAGAATTTCTGAGTGATGTGCCTGTCTCCCATCACATCAGGATGCAGCTTTTTGTGGTCTAGAGATGAATCCTACCATTCCCTTTCACCCTACTCACATACCCAATACAGCATAGTAGAGTATGGCCAGAATCCAACCGCTTAAAATAAAATTTCTAGTCAGAAAAGTGAGTGGAAAATACAACAGTCACTGTCCCATGGCAGTGATCAAATTCTGTTGTATCTATGGTGCTTTATTCCCCAGATCCCCTGCATGAATGGGCCCTGAATATCAATGTTTCTTTGTGACCTGACCTCTAAGTCATAATTGATAGAATTTTTTATAGGCACAGGGTTCACATTAAAGTTCTCTCCCATGATCCAGACCTAGAATATACAAATGCTAGTCAGTTTTGGACTGAGAACCTGTGAGTTCTGGAAGTATGCAGTGACTTTGCTCATAGAGAAACATAAACCTGACACTCCTCTATGGTAGGATGGATGATGACCCACAATGCTATCTAGGTCCTACTACCTAGAAGCTTTGAAAGTTAAATTATGTGGTAAAAGGGACTTTGCTGATGTGATTAAATAAGAATTTTGAGATGGGATGAGTATGCTGACTTAACCCAAACGGGTTCTGAGTGTAATCACAAGTGTCCATGTGAGAGGGACATGGAGAGAGATTTGAGTACAGAAGAGAAGAAGGTTGTGAGGGAAAAGCACACAAAGGAATGCCAGACCACAGCCTAAGTCATAAAGGCAGCTTTTCCAAGCTGGAAAGGGCAGAAAATGGATTCTTCCCTCCAGACTCCAGAAGGAACTGTCTCCCGACCAAACTCCAGAAGCAACTGATGCTGACATTTTGCTTTTCCTCTCCTAAGATCCATTTTGCCTTTCTGACCACCAGATGTGTAAGATAATAAATTTTGCTGCTTTAAGCCATTAAATTTGTGGTGATTTGTCACAAAAACAATAGGAAACTAATATAAAGAGATAGAAAAGTCATGCTGGAAATATGAAATTAAGCCACACAACTCAACCTATCCAGCCCTCTGATAAAAGGCTAATCAGAAAAACGAAACTTTCGGGGTTCCTGGGTGGATCAATTGGTTAAACATCTGCCTTTAGCTCAGGTCAAGATCCTGGGGTCCTGGAATCGAGCCCCGCATCAGACTCCCTGCTCAGCGGGGGTCTCTTTCTCCCTCTGCCCTTCCCTCTGGTCAGGCTTGCACTCGCTCTCTCTCTCTCTCTCTCTCTCTCTCTCTCTCTCGTACACACACAATCTTAAAACGTATATTTATTTTCTTCTTGGGGTTAAATAAAATCTTGAAAAGAAAACCAAACGTTCACTGATGGCCACATAATTTAGTTCGGTAGAGTATCTCAAAGCTCTTGAGGGCACCCAGGATCAAAAACTGAAGTTTTGGGGCACCTGGGCGGCTCAATCGTTGTGCATCAGCCTTCAGCTCAGGTCATGATCCCAGGGCCCTGGGATCAAGTCCCGCATCGGGCTCCCTGCTCAGCGGGAAGCCTGCTTCTCCCTCTCCCACGTGCCCTGCTTGTGTTCCCTCTCTTGCTATCTCTCTGTCAAATAAATAAATAAATCTTAAAAAAAACAACTGAACTTTTGAAAGTTCCCTTGGAATATTTTGTCAGAGGAAATAGACAATAGCAGAGGAGACAAGTTTCAAAATAGACTTTTAATTTTAAAGCATAGAAGCATGAAAAAGCAGGATTCTTTCACGAAAGAAGACTTCAAAGTGGCAAATGTTGCCTTGAAAGAGCTATCCTGGCACTAATGATTGACATTGGATGATTTTAATTCTGAGAGGTCTCTCACCATAAAGACTAAACATAACACCAAAGTTCAAGCTTCCATTTTTCTGTAATAATGGAGGACAAAATATTATACAAGGGTGGGTTAAGTAATGCATGGACCCCAAAATCATTGCATGTTTTTGTGCTAATACACATTATCAGGTTTGTGTTTGAAAATGGTATTTTTTTCACTGATAAGAAAGGCTTGAAATGGATAATGGCACTAAGCAATATTTCTTGGCAGTGCATTTCCATCAATGCCAGCCACGAGGAATAGCATTAAACCCCACATTTCTCAGTGCATGACATTTTTCTTCTTTATCATATGCCACTGCCAAATAAAATGGCATTTTTTTCTGAATAAAATACTTTATAAAATGAAAACAATTTTCTTCATGTAACCTTGGTATTGGTATGTGGGGACAGTGTAACACATTTTCATCTCACAAGACTGTTCCATCACAGTCCAAGAGATAGGGCCCCCCTCTGGACCCAGCACACCAAATCCTGGAAAATTCTGGAGGCAGCGTTCAATGTATTTCAAGCTCCTATCATTTTTTCCAAAGTTCCACTGCTCATCCACAAGCCCCGCATGGAGGCATCCAAGATGTTCGGAAAGCTTCCTTTCCTGTCAACAAAAGAATGTGCATTCATTCAGCCAACACTTACAGAACACCAGGATTACAGAAAATAAATATGACATCAGCCCTTTCCTTGAGGATCCCACAGCCTAGAAGAAGAAACAGACAAAAACTACCAATTCTTTGTCTGCTTCAAAATGTTCCTGAACAATTTAAGAGGGAGATAACTCTATGTGCTTTATGATACATTCCATAGCAGAAAGTGAGTGTCATATGTTGTAGTACATCTCAAAGAATTCCAATCATATATCCCAAGGAAGAAGAAAATAAGCATATGTCTTAAGAGTGCAGAGATATGGATAGACCAGAACAGTCTTCAGTTTTGTTTGAAGATGCATTCTGAAACATGTGGATTTTGAATTCTCCACAAAATATCTAAATACATAATATATCTTTCAACAGATATTTCAATAAAATTTGCATCACAGGAATATGAGAGCCATTTTGATCTTATGGCTTCATGTGTCCCAAAGCCCATCACCACATGCCTCTAGGGAAGTGCCAAAAATGCAATTTAAGAAGCACCAATATAGGAAAAAGAACATTGGACTTTTTTGGGGATAACAATTAGGATTTAATCCTGATTCTCTCACTGGACAAGTTATCTGAGACAGTCTTCTTATGTGCAAAATCAGAATGACATCCTCTGTGGGTAGAGGAGGTTGAGACAGGTGGAAGAGAGAGCCCAAAGAAGTTTCACCTCTCCCCAGCAAGGAGGAGTTTTCCAGAATTGGTCAGTTTCAAGGTCACTTCTTGTCTGCCAGTGGGTGGGGGTTGCTAGGCACTAAAATGTCCAGAGGTGGATGAGGCCTCCTTTTGCTCTCTGCCTGCCTGACCTTCTCTGGCTCTGTTTCCCCAAGGTCTCAAGCATCCTCACCTGCCCTTCTCTTGTAGCAGAGTCAAACCTAGGTTGACAAGATATCAAAATAGCATGTGCCTTTAGAGGAAAGAAAGAATTGCCTTAGGGCAGGTACTCCATTCCACATTTTCAGAGTTATTATTAAGATTCTCATGGGAACACAGCTGGGCCACAGGAAGAATTGATTAATGTTGGCTCTCTTGGCTAAATCAGTTGCACTTCTGAGTGGATAGATTTTTTTTTGAATTAGTAATGTAATTATAGAGCATAAGTGGATATTAATGGAAATTAATTCTATTTCTTTGAACCCTGTTATCCGGTTATACCCTTCTCTAAAGGCTACCAGTGATGTGATATATTTATGTAACCTTCCAACGATATTCTATGCAATTTTAGATGTGTACATACTATGAGAGCATACTGTAAATGTGATTCTGTCCATTTTATTTGTTGTTCTTGTTTTCCACTTAGCAATACATTTTAGAATTCTTTCCTTATTAGTTCATATAAGCTGCTTCATTCTTTAATGGCTGCATATTATTCCAATGTGTAGATTATACCATAATGAATGGACCTATGTTCCTATTGATGGACACGTCTCATATGTTATGCTCTCACATATTAAATTCATCAAAGACTTAAAATCCAATTTGGGAATAGTTTCTATTTTTATACAAATTATTTTACCCAACTATTTCAATTCTAGGACTCATCTTTCAGAAATATTTATACAACTGGTGTAATGATATGTTTATGAAGACTTTTGCAGAATTTTTGTTATTAGGAAGAACTGAACATAAATCAAAAGTGTGCTAGTATGGAAATACATAGCTGTGCATCTCCCCTTTTTAATTATTTATTTATTTATTTTTAATTTTATTATGTTATGTTAGTCACCATACAGTACATCAGTTTTTGATGTGGTGATCCACGATCCATTGTTTTCGTATAACACCCAGTGCTCCATGCAGTACATGCCCTC